TTTTCTTTTCAGGAACAGGGATTGGGAGAGGCATAGATCATACAAATCATGACCAAGGGCACATAAGAAATGGATCCAGCTCCATTTGATTTTTCCCTTTGCTTTCCCTTTGAATGTGAGCCCCTGGATCACCAAGCTGGAAAGGCGGGAACTTCTAATGTTGCTCTAGGCCTCAGGGTGTGGAGTGCAGTCGATTTGTTACTTGTTCATCTCTCTTCCCAGCAGTGCTGCTTTGTCCCCTCATTTCCAGTGATTCTTTGCACTTTCTTGATAGTTGAAGAATTAGGGACTCTGTGATTCCTGGGCAACAAGTTCTCCAGCAGACAGGCTTTCTGAATTTTAAGGAAGGGCCTGAGACTTTGCATTCCTGAAGAGCTTGGGGCCTGGTTGTCTCTGTCCTGCCCATCTCAAAGCCACCAGATTCAGCCATTGAAAGCTGGAGGGGTGTGGTGCTCACCTTTGCTCCCCCTGCTGGTTGTGTTAGTTTTTTCAATCATATTCATTAATTTATGAAGGCTGCACACATACTTACTGAAGTCATTACTAGGTGCCAGGTAAAGGAGAGGGAGTGGGGTGATTTGCAAAAGTGTCACTCATTTTCCTGTTTTTGCTCCCTCTCCCCATACTATCTTATTATCTTCAGAGAGACTCTCAGATTTAATTCTAAGCCCAGGTCTTTGAACTCCCGGAAGTCATCAAAAATTGTGAATGTGTATTTTTTGGGGAACAAAGGTCCATAGGTTTCATCAGCTTGTCAGAGGGGTCTTGTGTAATGCAAAAAACGTATTAATCTTAACCAGTCTAGGTCAGGCCTCATTTCTCTGATGAGTAAGCCAAGTCCCAGAGAAAGTAGTACTTCAGTTAATGGCTGAGCCAGACTATAATACAAATGTCTTGGGAGTTCAGAGACATTTTCTCTAGTTGCCTTATATGTAATGTAGGAATTCTTGGTGACAGTGCTTTCCATATTTCGCATCTGTGTCAGGTAGAGAGATTTTTTCTGGGTGGCACTTCTTGCCATTTGTTCTTTCATGTGTCTTCAGTCTCTTCCAGTGTTTGGTCTCGTGTTAGCTGGGTAATGCTTCGTGGTACCTGTGGCTTCTATTCTTTCCTTAGCCGTGCTTATTGAATCTAAGCAAACCCTTGGGTGGTATGTGAAAATTGCTGTTCTCTGTCAAAGACTTTAGCAAATTCTTTTCTTTTCGTCTGAAGTCCCTAAGCTTGTGGCTGACAAATTGGAGCCCTCAACCTCAGAGGAGCTCTTCATTTTAAAGAAGTTGGCACAGAGTCAGGGAGTGAAATACCTGCTTAGCTACGTGGAGCTGGGTGTAATATCTAGGAATTTCTCCTTCTAGTGTCTCTGACCTGTCTTGGTTTTACTTTATAAATAGAATTGAAGGAAGAGCATCTTGTTTTAGTGTCTAATTGATCAAGACGTATTGCCAGGGTACTGTCTCTCTTTTGGCATGGCTCTGAGGATTTCTTTAGAAGTAGGGAATGAAGAGCTCATCCAGATTTTTACTTGTGCTTTTTTTTTTTTTTGCTGTGTGGATAGCATCCTCTAACTCCGCAAAGTCTTCTTGTCCCCCCTCCAGCCCCAATGAACCAAATAAACAATTAGTCATAGCCCTCATATATCTTCTCTATCCGTTTCAGTCATTATTCCCCCAGTCATATTCTGGTGGCATAGCAGGATCTTACTCCCGAGTGTTCTCTTACTATATATATTGTGAACAGTCTTAATTCAGTGCTTTTTCAGAGCTCTCGTCTATTAGTTTGACTTACAAGATGCACAAATAGCTTTTATTCAGAGCTGCTTTTTTAGTATTTTTGCTAATAAGCCTTAGGAAGCTGCAGGGCAGTTGGAAGGCCCACAGGGGGCAGCACTAGGAATGATTCTCCTTTAGTCCTGTATGTGCTGGGGGAGAGGGTACTGGGAGATGTTGATGTTTTTCATCAGGCTTCAGAAGCCCCTGATTGAGATCAAAGACTCATTTTCTGCAGCCTAGTTGTTTATACAGTGTTGTTTTTGTTCTCCTGGGAGAATACATTCTAGTTTTTTTTGGATAATAAAAACATACATGAAAATCTGTCAGAGCCACCCAGTCTCCCACAAACCAGTCTGCCTACACATCATTTCCAGGCACCATTAGCATTTGAGGTGAAGTTCTGTTATACACTCAGGCTGTGGCTCTGTGAAAGTCAGTGCATCACAGAACTTTGTCTCGAAAGCTTTCTAGCAGCTACCCATTTGCGGGGTGGGAGGGAAGACACACCTTTTAAATCCTTTGAACATGGCCCTAAACTTGTAGAGTCTTTCTCAGTAATCATCATTTAATGTGTTACAAGGTCAAGCCTAGTCCATTGTCCTGGAAGCCTGTTTCTCAATCGCTGGGAGTTATTTATAAACTTGCCCTTTGCAAAAACTTAAAATGAAGTTACCTTAACAGTAATGGCTTCCAAGGCCTTTAAACTGGCTGGTTTTATGGCATGAGGGGAACTCCTGGCCCTCCCCATTCCTGAGAGGTGAGGGGACCCAGGTTGAGGTGGAACCAGCTGCAGTCAGGAGGTGGCAGGAGAAGTAAAGCAGAAGCTGCCTGCTCCAGCTCTAGCAGAGTGGAGTATTAAAGCAGTGTTTACACTCTTGCCTAAATTCTCAGCTTTATTTCGTGTGGTCCTTTCTTTGGAAGTTTGAAATGGCCAGCCTTGCCTGCCTTGGCCAGTCTTTTATTCTTCCAGGAAGAGCCAGTGAATCTTGGGATTTCTTGGACAGTGTCTCCTAGGAAGCCAGTGAAAAGAGCCAGATCCCAGGCATCTGTTTCTCTCTTTGCCAGCATGGCTATCTTAGGCACTTACATGCTGTTGGCCATGAAGGACATTACCTGACTCTCCCAGTGGGCTGGTGGCCATGAGGATTTTTCTTTCCTCTGGGTTCCCATTCCTTCCTAGGGATGCCATACTCTGGCTGTAAGAACCAGTTACCTGTGCCAGATCAATGCCCATTTTAAATCGTTGGGCAGCTCTCTAAGGTTGCTGTGAATGTGGGTAGAGGTGCAGAGCCAAAGAATTCCAAGGAAAAGTATTTCCTTCCCTATGGACTATTTTCCTTCTGTTAAGGAAATTTAATCCCATTGTTGTCCCCCTTTTGGTTAATTTAGGACTTAAGTTGCTATAGAACTGAGCCTGCTTTATGGGAAGATCTTTCTGTGGGGAATTAGGAGTTAAAGGAGGGCTGCTTCTGTTTGGGACCTTTTAGACTCTAGATGACATCCGTCTGCTAATCACAGAGTTCCTTAGCTTGAGAGGGGAGTTCCTCATGCCTTCTTTATTCCAGAGAGTAATGTTTATAGGGTGGGCATCTCTAAAGAGAATTTATCAGAGGAGAGACAAAGTTGGTAGTCATATACCCAATATGGCCACACCAGAAAATCCATCTATACATGGAAGTTTTCTTGTAAGAAAGTCCCCTAGATGCTTACTGCGTCAAGAAGTTTTTACTTTATTCTCAGACTTTTATTTTTGATTTAGCAAATATTGAGAGTTTAGTATATGTCAAATACTGTTGTAGACACTTGGGATAAATCAGTGAACAAAACACAAAAATTGCTGCCCTCAAATTCAAGTGGGAAAGCTTAACATTCTCCGTAACCTTGTTGTCAAAAGACTGGGTTCCCTTCACTCCCATTCTCAACTCTACCTGAGCTAGGGTTGGTTCTTCACAGGGGACCATAAACCTGGAGCCCTGTGGGAGAGTTTATCTTTTCACAGGCTGCAGTTTTCTGGAACATTGGCAATGATTCTTTTCCTCCTCATCCTTCAGTCTTTGTTGAGACGTACTTGGAGAATTGTGTTTGGCCACTGTGAGTACTGTGGGTTTCCTAAATAAGACCAGGAAAGACAGGTAGCAGAGCAACAGCCTTGTTTCCTAGCACAGGGCTATCAATGGTGAGTAATGTTATTAGAAAGGAATGTGAGGCTAGAAACTCCTTCCATACACATACTACTACCTCCTTTTTCTTCCCTTCTTTCCTATTCTAGTTAGCTGGTTCTCTAGAAGTTGCAAAGAGAGAGGAGAAAGAGCATCAGGCCACCACAGCTTTTGCAAAATGATATGCTTGTAATTGAGGAAGGGAATTGTTTGAGTGTAACCATCAAGGTTAAGGCTGCAGTTCCTTCACAAGAGCCAGTGTCCTCAAAGTTTTTTCTTGGTAGTAAAAAAGAAAACCCCCCTCCTGCTCACTATCTCCAGGCCCCAAAGTGTTTCTCAGATAGATCCTCTTCTCACTGCTTCTTAACTTTCCCAATATTCAGGTCGGTGTTTGTCCCAGGAAGTTATGTGGTTGGGGGTGTAGTGGAGGAATTGGGATTATTAGAAGATGAACGTCTCACTGGATCGCATTCAGAACTGGTGTGTGTGTGCGCGCGCGTGTGTGTGCATGTGCATGTGCGCGCGTGTGTGCTTGTGTGTACACACATGCAGTTCCCTCTGCTCAGTGTATGGGTGATTTAGGGAAGGCTTGCTTTATGCCCCTGCATTGCTGCTGCACTGGGACTGCAGAAACATCCAAGTACATTTGGGCATTCAACCCTGTTTTCAAATGGCCTTGTGCGGTGCCTGTTAATTAATCTGGTCACGTTTCCTACCCACCTGTACATGGGAGCCCAGGGAGGGAGGGTAATTTGGAAAATAACTGTGGTATAATACTTGGAAATAACAGTATGACCCACCTTGATTAAGCCCTCTGTGAGTCTGGCTCAGATAAACTTTCTCTGATGCTGCTTTGGAGACCTTTGTTCAGGTGCCCCCTCCTTCGATTCAGTTCACTCACCCCTTGATCGTGCTCGGTGGGAAATGTTAAAATCTAACCAGATTGGAGTAGTGGACATAGAGAAGCCCCACTATGTCCCCTTGTAGCCCCAGTGGGACTGAGGGGAAGGCATCTGGTTTTCCAGTGGTGGTGGGAGTTTTCAGAACTGAAGGTGTGTTCGTATCTCTTCAGGAACCCTCCCTGTATACTGTCAAAGCCATCCTGATTCTGGACAATGATGGAGATCGACTTTTTGCCAAGGTGAGATTCCCTTTCAAGTTAGTTTAGGAGTAGGACAAAGACTTGCCCAAGGTTTGAATCTTGGGACTGACCCTGTTAATTCATATTCCTTGATACTATGATTTTGAAGATTCTTCCATCTTACTTTGACTACTGCAGATAAAATCTGAGCTGCTTTTGTCCCTTAGTTACCCTGTTTCCCTGCTTGCTGTCTTCAGACTTTGGCCTCCTTTGTTATCTGTATGAGAGCAGGGAAAGCTTCAGGGTCTTGGTTCCTGAACAAAGCAGTGCCTAGACATGAGAAGCAGTCTTCCCATGCCCATCACTCCTGTTGCTTTCCCTCCTGCCTTATCACCCTGCCTGGGTTTTTCCAGGAAACTCTTTTGCAGGTCCAAGGTTCCAGCCCTGGGTCTGCAGTCACCATCAAGCTTGTTCCTGACTTCCCCAGTGTGATGTTTCTAACTTTGGGTCTTTTGAAAAGAGGAGAAAGGACACCCCTCTTCTCAGTCTCTCTGTATTCCCCCCGTCCTGTAGAAATTTCTTCTATCCCTAGTGTGTTAACTCCAGGCGAGCATAGCATAAATCAATCAGCAGGTAGAGATTAGTTTAGAATTCACCAGCTGTTCCTCCCTGTAATTGGATGTAACTATGCAGGACACCTTTTGAAACAGTTATCCAGTTACTAAATGCCAGACCTGTCATAGGTCTTCAGCTGACTGCTACGGATTAGCCCCTAAAGAGCAGAGCGATTTAGCAGCCTGCATCTCCGCCCCCTTGCCAAGGAGAGCTTGGGAGTGGGCTCAGCAATGTGCTACATTGCCTCCTGCTTCTTTCCACAGAGGTAAGATATGAGAGCACAGGGCAGGGTTTTGCAGCCTTTCCACATTCCTCAGCTTCATACAGTAAGTGAGAGTCTGAAAGAAACGTTCTGCACTCCTGGTGCCTTTTGTGTTCACTGGCACTGCTCCCTAATACGGGGTAGCTCCTAGGAAGCACTTGTTGAGAATGGCCTCAGGAGAACTCTCCTAGAATGCAGATGGGAGCAGAGCCTCCTTGTAGGGCTCATAGGTCTCTTGCTCTCACATAGTGTTAGGAGTGTTAAGTGAGGGACCTTTAAAAAAAATTTTTTTATAATAGATTACTTATTGCCCATTCCTTGCTTCTGCAGTCCTTCCTTCTTCATGTTCATATTTATCCTTTGCCCCATGCCTTGAAGGAGAGAAATCCAAGATCCCAGGACAAAACACAGACACTAAGCATTCTGGGCTCCCAGCTCTAATGACCCAACCCTGTCTCCTTTCCCTCTGACCAGTACTATGACGACACCTACCCCAGTGTCAAGGAGCAAAAGGCCTTTGAGAAGAACATTTTCAACAAGACTCATCGGACTGACAGTAGGTCATTTTCCTTTCACTACTCCCTGTGTTGGGAGAACCATGCTGGGAAGGAGGTTGGTGATAAGACTACGAAGAAAGGATAAAATGACTCTGCCTCCTTTTTTCCTTTTTTTCCTCCTCCCCTCATATAATAAACTCTTCAGAAATGTAATGGGGAGGTGAGTGTACCTCACGCGGGAATACCGTGCTGGAAGGTTGGCTGTTAGCTACCTGTCTAGTCCCTGGATTTATGAGCCTCACTTGACAAATTTAACGGCAGCTCTGCTTATTGTACCACATCCATTAGGGCAGGTAAATGGAAGTCTGTAAAGGTGACCGCTCTGCGTTTTCACCTCCGAAAGATCGACTAGTATCCTGTCTCATATACAAGGAGGGAAATAAGGGGTGGTGGGGGGAGTAGAGGAGAAGATACATTTAGACTCCCCCAAGTTTATATATCTTTTTTGCTCCCTCCAGAAAACAAAAAAGCAGGCCAACTTTGGACTTTGGGGGTCATTACAACCCATTTTACCTCAGCCCAAAACAGCTAGATACCAGGAGTTCATGGTAACTCCTTCTATCCTACCTCCTTATCTCAGGCCACCCACTGTTTCCACCTTTCTCCCCAGGTGAAATTGCCCTCTTGGAAGGCCTGACAGTGGTATACAAAAGCAGTATCGATCTCTATTTCTATGTGATTGGCAGCTCCTATGAAAATGAGGTAAGCATTCCCACCCTCTCTGATTTCACTTCCGAAACCACAGGCACTGGGCCCTAGAATGCCTTGTCCCTCTGACGTCTGGTTAGTCTAAGGAAGTTGTCAGAGATCCCTGCCAGCCTCACAAACATGGCCCAGCAAATAAACCAGCCTAGAAAGGAAGTTTTCCCAGATTTATCTTTCATCTCCATGTAGGAGATACTATATATGTTTTAATGCATACTAACATGTTAGTATCCATGTCCTTCTTGGGTAGTGTTATTTTCTAAGATGCATTTCTGAGGTGTGGGCAAGGTTGGGGAGATGCCTGCTATTACTATGAAGGATCCACACCTGACCAAGCTTGAGCCAGTTAGCTAATACTCTGGGTTATGCTGAAGCCATACATTTCGAATGGGTCACTTGAGAAGGCTGTGAATGTAGTACTTACCTGCTTATATGCATGAAAAGCTATTTACTTCAGGTAGCAACTTCTGGGAGAGTAGGTAAGTGAAAGTAAGCATTCCTACCTCCAGATTATTTGAAGCAAAAGTTTGAGGGAACCAGCTCTTACTGAGCTCTTATTACTGCCATAAGAACATTGTTTAAGTACATTTTTATTTAAACCTTGCAACACTTCTATGAGTTATATCATTAGTACCTTGGTTTTACAGGGAACCATATGAAATTAATTGTATTTGACCATTGTTGAACTATGAAAGTGGTAATTTCATGTGGTTCCACCTAATAACTTTTCCAGGGTCACACATCTAGACAATGGCTCAGTGAGGACTCAAACCCAAATCTGTCTTGACTCCAGAGCCCATGCTCTTTCCATTCACTCTGCTGCTTTCCTCTAACCTCAGCTATTGCTTGGTTGACTTCTCTACCGAAGACATTAGGTAACACATACATAGTTGGTAAAGACATGTAGAGAACTGTGACATGAAAGTTCTGTTTGAACATTCTGGCAAAAAGAGACCTCACATTTTGGTATTGTGTAGTGGAATAATTTCTGTGAGAAACCACAGATCCTGTTTTGCTGTCACTTCCACCTTATGCTTTTGGTTCTTTGTGAAAGCCTGTGCCTTTTGATGCTTAATAAATAAATTAGAGGGTTTTGCTTTCAGGTAGTTTCTTTCAGGGCCTTGAACCTTATTCTTTTGCTTTCTGTATCTCCCAACAGCTTATGCTCATGGCTGTTCTGAACTGCCTCTTCGATTCATTGAGCCAGATGCTAAGGTGAGGAGGCCATTCTTGATGTCAGTTTGGGAAACAAAGTAACTATTCTTCAGGACCTAGGGATTTGTGGAGGATCAGCAGAGGCTCTAGGGAATTGATTTAGTTTAAGAAGTTGGGCTTTTTACTTCAGTTATTCATACTGACAGGAAGGACTGGATGGAAAAAGCATGTCTTTCCCATGGAATAATTCTCCTACTAAGGAATGTGATTAGGAGGGAGTAGAATCTTCACCTCTGTGTCTACTCTTGTATTCCCCAGTGACTCTGTCAAAGTTCTAAGAAGCACCTTCAAGGTGCTTTCTTTGGCTTCATTCTTTACATTAGAGGTAGGGAAGAGGCAAGCATAGGGAAATGTCCCAGATGAAATATCAGTCCCTAGGAATGGAGGCTACAGTCCAAACTTTTCTAGCCCTTAATTTTTCCCTGCTGTAGAACGGGGTCCAGTCCTCCCCTTCTGCCTCCCAGAAGCCCTCTGGTCCTCATGTACATGGGCAGTAGAAGAGATATAAGATACTTTTCTTGAAAACACCCATGGCTCTGAACTTCATTTCCCCAGAAGTGAACCCAGTAGAGATAGCCATCCGGAGCAGAGCAGCAGGTGCTCTCAGCCCCACAAAATCAGCAGGATGAATGGCTCAGATTTCCTCAGGAAGGGGATGTTTATTTCTGAGCCAGGTGAATGTATAGACTTTGTTTTGGGTGATCTAGTGAAGGAGTCAAACTGACAGATGTTACTGTCCACGTGCACCAACCACTGGATCTGAGGCTGGTGGATGAGGGTGCTGTTTATTCCTGGTTCCCTGACTGGGCTTCTTTTCAGGGCCTGAGCAGAGCTGGTGAGGAAGGGGGGTGAGGGGAAATGGAGAGAGACTTAGGTGGTTTGACAGTGCTTGATGCAAAGAGCTTGCCCTTAAGCATTCCCTACCTCTCACCACTTCCAGATTGAGTTTTAGCTTCGTGTATTTTTCCATTTTTCCACCCATTGATGTCAGTGTTTATGAGCATTGTCAGGCATAGCATCATGACAGGTAGGAAAGAAATAATAGATCTGGGTAATCAACCCTAAAACAGTTAGAAAATGGTTGTATTTTAAAAATCTGTTTCTGATCCTTCCTCAGCAAATAAGAGAGTAGGAAGGGATTTTGAGTGGATTTGAGGAAAAGTTCTTGACCCTAATTACTCCTTTGTCTGTGTGGTTGGTGGAGACATTTATTGGTCTAGTTTGGGACCCCCAACTCAGACAGTGTCCTAGGATTTCTTTTACACACAGGTTGGTTTTTCTCTTCTCTTGGGGCGGGTCAGGAAAAATGTAGAAAAGCGAGCTCTGCTGGAGAACATGGAAGGGCTCTTCTTGGCTGTGGATGAAATCGTGGATGGAGGGTGAGTTCTCTGCCCTGACTGCACCTCCCTGGGTCTCAGGTAAGGTGGTAGGGTAACTGCCAAGTGGGCTGAGTGGCCAGAGGCCCTGTCCTTCCAGTAAGTCGGTCCTTCAGGACACAGTGAACAGTGATCTCTTCTCTGTCTTTGTAGGGTGATCCTAGAGAGTGATCCTCAGCAAGTAGTACACCGGGTAGCATTAAGGGTAAGTAGGAGTGTGCTCTGCTGAACCCTCCATCTACTCACAAAACACCCTCCAGGGCTAGACCTGCTGAAAATGCTTTCTTAAATGCCTCAGAGGGTCAGGCTTACAGAATACAACCTTCTTCCCTTTCAAATTCTCGTTGTCCCGCCAAGAAGGGAAGCAGAAGGAACTTAGTTCTGCCCCTAACATGGTACTTAACGTCTCATAAAGTCTGTACAAATTGGACATTTAATACATCTTTATTGAATTAATTAATTAATTAAAAGAAACTTTCTGAAGGAACTTGAGGTGGGCTTATTCCGCCTTTGGGGATGGATCCTAGTCATCTGAGGCAGATGAATGTTGTCCTTATCTTTTAAAGTTTTATATAACTGGGGACAGCACCCCTCAATCAGATAGTACTTATTCATCAGAATGTGAGTCCTTTTTGGTGCTGGTAATATCAGAACAGGCCTCTGAGTCAGCCATAGAAGGCCCCAAGGCTGTTGGGGAGATGATGGTGGCTGTAGAGAGAGCTCCCCAGAAATTGTAGGGGTATAGAGATGTCTGAGCAAAGCAGATCTCCCCATTCACAGAATGTCCTGGCTCTGACCTCCATAGAGTGAAGGCTGACAGTGCCAGGTAATGGGAAATCTTCTCCCTTAACTGCTGTGGGCTCAATTTGCATAGTTTAATCTTCTCCTCTAACATATGTCTCTATGTGGCAAGAGAGAGGGTCCCCCCCCCCCACCAACCCCCCTTCCCCTTCTCAGGCTGCTGTTGCAGCAGTTTATTTCTTCAAATTAACATGCTGTCGTTACCCATCAGGCCTTGCGGGATCCATTAAACTACCTCTAGCTCCCCCTCATCCTTTCCCTAGCCATATTGATATTCAGGGAAGGTCTTCTCTGACTAGGGAATCAGGCCCCCACCTCCAAGTTGAGGGAGTTGAGGATCAGATAACTTGCTGATTACTTGCAGTGGAATACATCTTTTAAGTCCTCCTGCCTTAAAACAGAGGGATGGATGAAATGACTCTTTTTTGCTCACAGAGCCTCAGGCCAAGTGAAATTTTGACTGGATTATGGTAGTTCCTTCCCAGAAAGGACTGAGAAGTTCAGGGCCTCTGCCCTTTGCTTCAGTTTAAAGAGCCACCTCTTCTTTCTCCACTGCCAAACTCCAATTAGGTCTTACTTCAGCTTTCTCCCATGCTGAATGCCTGTCTCTCTGTGCCATAGGGTGAAGATGTCCCCCTTACGGAGCAGACTGTCTCTCAGGTATGGCTTTCTCCCCTCTTCCTGTCCAGATGGACTGGTCACTAAAGAGGCTAGAATTAGCAGTCCACCTCAACCCACCAAATCTGAATGGCACTAGAGACTGAAGACACATCTTCCTAGGCTCCCTTTTTTTCCAGAGAACCGGGACACATACAGTCAAATGTTTCCTTCCCACCCCCAATTCCTATCCCAGTTTCCTTTGAGCAGTGGCTGTCAGCCTTGCTCTGTACCCTTCAGACCCTCCCTGCCTGCTGCCTCATTCAGTGATTTATTCCCCAGCAGAGGCTTGCCTTAAGCAGATGGTCTGTGTGCACACACACTTGTACTCTCTCTCTTATTATTCAAATGAGGGCCAAGCTGGAATTGTGTATTCCAGAATATGCAGGTGTTGCAGATCCATCCTGCTACCTTGACTGCAGATAGATTGTCTACCTGAGTTGGGGGCAAGGGAGGGATTCTGTTTTCCACCCACTGGGAAATCTCACCAAGAAGTCCATCTGGATGTGGTACCTCCCTCCTTTTTAACATATGTCTAGTAACCCCCAGTTTTTTGTTTTTTTTTCTCCTGGGTATACCTCTTCTCTCTTCATTCCCCCAGTGGATTTGAATTTTTTTGGAATTTCCCAAATTGACAGTCCTCTAGGGCCTTAGTTTCTTCCCATCCCTCTACCCTTGGGGATTTTCTTTTTTTTTTTTTTAAATTGTGCTTTAAGTGAAAGTTGACAATTCAAATTAGTCTCTCATACAAAAATTTATACATACGTCGTTTTGTGACCCTACTTGCTCTCCCTATACTATGACAGCACACTCCTCCTTTCCACCCCGGATTTCCCATGTCCATTCAACCAGCTCCTGACTCTCTCTGCCTTCTCATCTCGCCTCCGGACAGGAGCTGCCCATTTAATATCATGTATCTACTTGAGCTAAGAAGCACACTCTCCACGAGTATCATTTTATGTCAGCCCTTGGGGATTTTCTATTCCCCATCTTCTAAGGACAGGGGAGGCAAGTGACGGGAAGGAGATCCCCAATCCCCATGCCCACCCTAGCCCCCCAGTCAGCCTCCCCACAATGCTGCCCTTGTCTCTGCAGGTGCTGCAGTCAGCCAAAGAACAGATCAAGTGGTCACTGCTTCGGTGAAGACCCCACTGTTCGTTTTTTCTCACCTCCCTCAAAACATCGCATGTCTACTGTGACTTCTCATCCAGTCCCCACCTGATGCTCTCAAGGTCATCTTGGGGATCACAAGGGATCCTTAAATCTCCATCCTGTCTGGTTGTGCCTCCCTACACACACACACACACTTTCCATTTTTCTCACTGTTCTTGCAGTCCTGGGAGTAAAGCTTCCACCAGACTTAGACACAGGACAGGGGAAACACTCTCTTCCTTTCTAGACTGGATTATTCTTCCATGCTCTCCTGTTGGCCATATTTTCTCCTCAACTTCTGTGCCCTATGCTGCAGCTACGCTTCAGATCAAAGCAGAAGAAGGAATGTGCTGAGTGTTTTCCTCCCTTTGCCTTTGCCAGGACTTCATCCCAGCAGCCATATGTCCAGCAAGGGGAGGGAGAGAGAGAGTTCTTTTCTGTAGAATGAATGGGGGTGGGGCAGGTGCATCCAGTCTCAGCCCCAGTCCCACTTACTGGCCTCAGCGTTTTCTCCCATTTCTTCTTACTGCTCTGTCTTCAGCCTTGGAAAAGAGATTGAGAACAGCTCACAGGGAGGGGACAGAGTAGAAGAAACAGTGAGTTTAACTTTATTGGATAAAGCTTATAAAATTCTGTATTTCAGACACAGCTGCATTCTCTATCCTGATCCTGGCTTATAGCTTCAAAACTGCTGTGGTCTTGAATGTTCATTGTGGGAGTGTCCATCTCTTGGTCCACTACCTTAACTGTCCACCTTTACTACCCGTGGGATCTTTTCCTGGCTTGTCCTGTCTGTGCTCTGGAGCAGAGCCAGTCCCTGGAACTAAAATTCCATTCTAGTCTTGGGAAGAAGAGTTTCTGCTCAGACCTGGGGAGGGGATGGAATTTATGACTTGGGCCTCTGGGCTGTCTCCCCCACATGCATTTCACTCCTCTGCCTTGAGTCTGCAGTCTCTGCTGCTTAACTCTATCCTGTGTCTGCCTGTGCTTCCATCTCACATCCAAGCTGTAGGTCTGGGTGCTGCTTCTGCCTGGGTTGTGGAGAAAGGTGTCCTTCGTAAACCTTTGGGATTTGGATTTCCCTAGAAAGATGGAGGATGGAACACCCACTCTTGGGTCTAATTTTCCCATTGTATCAAAACTTTCTTCCCACAAAAATATCTTACACAACCTTAAGACTTAAGGGTTCTCTGCTGCTCACTAATTGCCAGTTCTCTAAGACTGAAGTGGGCAGGTAACGGCATATTTGAGGGGGCATCTTTGTGTAAGAAATGTATGGAATCAGGAGATAGCCACCTTCATATACTACTCTGCTCAAAGAGGAATAAAACATTTCTTTTTCCAAACTGCCTTTGTGCGATGTTTTTGTTCCTCTCTTTTTGGCAATTGCTCCCGTTCCTCCACCACCACCACCCCACTCCCCATCTTATAATATTTCTTCCCTTCTACCTCAGAGACTCCCTCAGCATCCTCCCCCCATCCCTAATTTACGGGACTGTTTGCCTCCTTGGCATCTTTCAGTCCCCTCGCCTGGAAATTGGCGCCAGGGGTGGGGTGGGGATGGTATTTTCTCAGTGGGAGTCCCAGGGAACTGAGTTTCCCCCCTCACCACCTCCAAAGCCAGCTGCCTGCTCCCTCATCAGCCATTAGTAACCCAGAGACGCGCACCTGCGTGGGGGCTCTCCTCCAGCCCTGGCTCCCTTCCTACATCTCCCACTCCTGCTCTGAAACGGCACTGAGCGGGTTATTTATCTGAGCCAGTGCTGCTCCAGAAGGTCAGGACGGTGGTGTAAATAACCTCTTGCCATTTCCCCGTCCCTCCAGAGCCTGCTCCCCTCCCCTTCCTCCACCTTTATTCGTACAAATGAATGTGGCTGGGCTGGCGCAGAGCCTGGCCCTGCATCTTAATGGGGTGGTGAGCTCACAAGATGGATTTAGCTGGGGGTTTTATGGTTGCCGCGGCGACTGCAGAATGCTTTGGTTTTCTTTCTCCTTTCCTCTGCAGGATTTTAAGGAGGGGGGAGTGTGGGGAGCCTCCCTCTCCAATGCGATTTGAAGGTTCTCCGCAGTCACCTCTACTGCTCATAAAATGGGCCTGCAATTCCAGGATTAAGTAGGAGACCAAATTAGGACCTCAGGGAAGGATTAGGGACGGAAAAGTAACGAAGGTAATGGGCATGGGGAAGCCTCTCCAGCATCAGGGCATGAAACAGTTGTCCAGTCTTGCCTGTCTTTTCTATGAGAACCTGACAATTAAGTTCAGCAACCTGTGCCTAGGATCCCCCTCAGCAAATTTAAAAAGTTGGAGTACAGAGGGCTGGGTATCTTTGCCTTCGTGTGTCTGAGCTGGGGAGAAGCGGTGCCCAGCCTTAACCATTTTACCATTCTAATCTTGATACTCATCACCCAGCGTTGATCAGTGATAGTTCCGAGAGTGGAGTTCTGTTTAATCCCCAAATTTGGAATTCTCTGAGCTTGTTTCCCCAGCCTAACCTGGTTTGAACTTGCCCTGCCTTCTCTGTTTCCTACTAGGAATGGAACTCTGGTGTCCTGGCTTTCCCAGTCCCAGCCTGCAGTTTTCTTTCAGGCTATGAGCAAACCCATCCCCAGCACTGACTGAAGCAGAGACTGGAAGCAGTGTCTGATTATCTCCCTCCCTTAGCCAGTTTCTGCTGGATTCTGAGCCTCTGCCTTTTTTTCTGTTGTGAGCCTTTCTCTCTTCCCCAGGGGACCCTGGGAGGCCCCTCCTCCCCTCTCCCCCCTTTCCTCCCCTTTGGCTGGGAAAGTGACTGCAGCCTGAACTGTGCCAGACACCTGCCTGCCAGATGTGGCGATTCCCCATTCTTCTGCCTCCCTCCCAGTGTCTATCCTTTCCTCACCCCACTGAGCTCAGGCAGAGGGAGCCCCCCCATAGGGTGATTTAGTGCTGTAGCCTCTCTGCCTCAAGTGCCTCCCTCTAGCTCCTCTCCCTCCCCCTGGTGCGCATGCCCCCTCTTTTCTTACCATGTCCTGCAGCCAGCTTCCTGGTACTGCCTCCTCCCATTCCCACTCCCGGTATGCTGGACTGTAAGCCCCAGCTCCTGGACAGGGGAATGAATGGGGGGGCAGGGGTGACTGGCCTCTGTTTCACTCATGGGAGAGTACATCAGCAGGGCTGAGGACAGTGGCAGCCAGAGCTGATGTCATTTAACTTGGGGAGGAGAAGAAGTGGTAGGGAAGAGGGTGAGTGGGGAAGGGACCAGCACTCCAAAACTGCAGAGAAGAGGTCTCTGAGACCTTCCCAGGTAGGAGAGAGAGACGAGAAATGTGGCTTCATGGTGGGCATTGCATCTGTGTTTCTCTGTCCAGGTCTCCAGACCTTGTCTCTGGATCTGTGCCTCAAAGCTTCTCTTCTCACACTGACCCAAAACATATACTTAAAGGGAACCCTAAGTCCTTACCTTTTTCTCTTTAGTGTTTGTCCTTTTGTGTCTTCTCTCTAGTCATCTCTTTTCTTCCATTTCACCCCTCCTCCCTTAGTTGTGCTTCTGTCTCTGGTCACTTCCTGCCACAAGCCCTCCTGCACTCCCCCTTGCATACCATATCATAACCCAGTATGATCCCAGACCTCCTACCAAAGCAGGGACTCACTTAGAGCCTCTTTGCTCCTTCCTATCCTTCCTTGCAACCTGATGCCTGGAGGTACCCCTGGGCCAGAGCAGAAGGCCTGGAGTGAGAGTGAAGAGGAGGAACGAATGGCTGGGCCATTCCATGGGAGTAGCAGAGACAGGGCCGATGGGGAGTCCAAGGGAGTGGGAGAAGGGGGAGGAGGGACAGGAAGATGGAAAGAGAAACACAAGGCTAGAGAAAAGTGACTGAGAGACAAAGAGGCAGAGATTGAGGGTTAGCAGAAAGCGAGAATGACAAACTGGGAGGGTGAGAGATACGGACACCAAGGATAAGGCTGGGAGCAGAGAAAACGCAGCAGGAGATAGAGGCAAGGGAGTCACAGCAAAAGAAGGCTGCTGGGGAGCAGCCAGGCAAGAGGCAGGCTGGCTTTCCAGGGCTCTCACTGGTGCTGATGGTCCATAAATTTTGTGTGTGTGTGTGTGTGTGTGTGTGTGTGTGGTGCGCACAGGGGCACACGTGTGTAGGGGTCTGTGGTGGGATTAGGGATAACACCCACAACATTCTCATTCTCCCATTTCCTTCAGCAGTCTTCTTCCCTGAAGCACCTTACTCCAACTTCCCATCTCCCAGCATTTCTGATGCTCCAGCGGCCATTCCCAAGGTGTGTTTCCACATCTTCTTAGGAATCCTGGCTTTCTGATTTAGAATGCTGGTCTGCTGGAATGTGCAGCTAGGATCCATGCAATCAAGAGGCCGATTCCCTAACTGCCCACCCCCAATGCCTGCCCACCAGCTGCTCCTGTCCATCTCCTCCCACTCTCCTTGTATCTTCCCCTCCTCCACACTGACCCCGCCCCCAGCCTCTGACCCCCAGCCTGCCTGGGGCCCAGGTCTGGAAGGGGAGACAAAGACAGGATTTATAGCTGGTATAGAGAAGCAGCCAGAGCCCAGGGCTGAGGGCAATGGCTGACCTCTCGCTGGAAAGGGAGGGAGCACTGGGCCGGATGCTGGGAGTCTGGAAGCCTGGGTTCTAGCAGCCCTTGCTCACAACCCCCACCTTTTCCCACTCCAGCCTTGCTCTCCCTGTTGTCCCTGAAGACCTAGGAAACAGAAAAGAGAATGGTCCTGAGGTGATTCTAGGCCTCTGAAGGGAAGCCTGGGAGGAGGGGAGAGATGAGATTGATGTCTTAGGGTCATTATCTTATGGATACTGAGGAGGGCTCAGGAACCAGGGGGCACTTGGACACCAGGTGTTTCTAGGACTAGGAAGGGGATCAGGTCTAGCACTACAACAGATGAGCTTGAGAGGGATTTCCCTCTGATATAGAGAGGGACTTCCAAAGAACAGGCTCTGACTGCCAACAGAGAGAGATAGGGTGATTGTAGGTCCTGAAAGATGAGAGACAGTGTCACCTGGAAGCAAAGGAAGAAACGGAACGCCTCAAAGGTTATTAGCTCCAGGAGTTCAAGCACCAATTGTTTCCAGGACTAGGAAGTGGTTCAGGTTTAACATTGCAACAGATGAGCTTGAAAGGGACTTCCCTCTAATGTAGCCAAGGACTTCCCAAGAACAGGCCCTGATGGTATAGGGAGGAAGATAAGGGTGGTTACGGATCCTGGAAGATGGGAGATAGTCCCACCTAGAAGCAAAGGAAGAAATGGAATTGCCCAAGGAATTAACTAACTCCTGCCCCATTAAGAAGGCCTTCCTCTCTGAACACCCCAGCTCCCTC